AATTCTTAAACATTTCAGCCACTAGGTCGCTATGATTTCTTAACGAACTGTATTATTCCACATATCGTCGTTTAAAGTACAAAACCGCGTATCGTCATTCTGCAAAACCGCGTAACTGACATTGGCTGCCGAAAATTGGATTTGCTCACACAAGCGCTTGGCTCAATCCTTATCCATTCGTCCTGAAATATACTAGCCAGAAATGCGATTGCTTTATAAAAAAGAGAACCATTAAAAAAAAGTGTGTTCTTACCCTCTAGAAAATAAGTTCTAAAACTTCACATACTCGGTTTTGCATTTTGCTGATACGCGGTTTTGCATTTTGTTGATACGCGGTTTTGCACTTTAAACGACGATATATGTAAATACCCTAATTGTTAACAATTTCCATTCACTAATCGTACAATAAAAATAAACTTGTATCTTTAGCTTTATTTAAATTACAAAAAGAAAAGTCTCAGTGAACACATACATTTTGTAGATATATTGTGATTTCACTTCAATATAAAAAGTTTGAGCAGCCCTGATTTAAACAATAGTCTTCGAGCGTACCTGTGTGCATCAGTTAAATAATGGGCGCGTTTCTAAGACGTATCTGTTTCCTCACTTTTATCGTTCAGTTTGAAATCAAATATAAGAATAAGTATTTATATCATTTTGCGTGCACTACCTCAACAGTCGCAATGGCTGAGTAAGCAGAGCACTAGCGTGCCATTCGAGAGATACGAGTTCGAGTCCTAGGGCAGGAACATTTTCTTTTTCCTTTATTTATTTATTTTATTTTCTTGTTAAATTTTTAACCACTAATTTTATTTAATTTTTCCCTTTTTTAATCTTACTTTTTTTTAGTTGTGGAATTTATTCTCTTAAAAAGGAAAATTTTAGAAAATGGAAGTAAAAAAATCAATAAAGTTTCTAAACATTAAATAAGATAAAAAAAATATTTATTTTTTAAGCAATAAGACCTAAAAATGTAAGGTAAAAAAATTAATAAAAAAAAAAAAAAAAAACCGTTGCCGAGGATTGAACTCGGATCTCTCGTTAAAGTAACGTTATCGAAATTGAAATTTATTGAGACAAACAAAAAATTTCAAAATCATTCGTTAAAAATTTAAGTAAAGGTTTCTTTACTTAACTTTAATGTTCATTAAATGACGTTAACGAATCATTAACTGACGCTGAGAGGGAATTTTTTCAAATAGTTACTGCGGAATACCTTAAGTAATCATTAAATGGCTCTGAGTGCGGCTGTGAGAAACTAAAATGAAATCCTGAAAACAAGTACTCGTATCGAAATCCGAGTCCTTAAATAGTGGTACCTTTCCGCAGTTTGAAAAAATATGTAATTTTGTTTTTGTTTTTTAATACCACACTCAAACGAAGCAACTGAGAGGATCTTTAGTATAAAGCAGTGTTGATATTTGAAGTACGATTGTACTTTTTTCAGTACAATTAGTTTTAAAAAGTACAAAAGTACAATTTACCGATTTTAAGTACAATTTTAACATCAAAAATGCTTTCTGAATCCAACGCTCTAATCTCCGCTAGCACTTTGATTCTGAGTCCTTTTAAATTTAAGTTACTGTCCGCCTTCACCTGCTTGAAAATATAGTTTGCGCATATATGTAATACTTCTATATTGGCAGTAAGCTAACTTCTCAATGTGTAAGCATTCCCGAAATCAAAGCGAGACAGTCTAGTACCATTTTTGTCAATGTATTGTGTACTTGAGTGCCGGTTTTGTAAATGTGTCGTGTACATGTTTATTTATAAACGTATGTGTTCCTTTTCTTTCGTGCGTGCTTATTGATATATCTGTACTGTAGTGTTTTCGGACGGTACTAGCTCTTACTGCCAATATAGGAGTATTACATATATGAGTTTGCGTGACATTCATGCGAGATCTCGCACGTGCAGACCGCAAAAAGTACGAAGCATATTTTTTTCTAGCATACCGGGTGGTTTGCGAGATCTTGCTTGATTTCGTCTGTAATTTTAGTAGTTTGGAACCATTAATTTTCAAAAAAGAAAAAATAAAAATTTAGAAAGAGTTAATGACTATTCAAAATAATAAAATGGAGTGGCGGATTCCAGATATTTTAAAATATGAATGCGTTTGGAATTTCGTGAAAAAGTATGCTTTTAAATGCCCAGTCAACAAATTTCAACTCGCTTGCGAGAAATGAAGAAGGAGAACGTAAGCGGAATTTTCAAGCAGGACATACCTATATTTCATATTTCAAAATGAAATTGTGAATTGCAATTTTAAATGTAAACGAGATTGTGAATGGCAATATTAGTGATGAGCGTTATGGTGATTGCAATTTTTTTTATCATCGGCGGGTGAAATATCACTATTGAAAAAATCTAGTCATCTCATTTTATATGATTTATTTTCATTAATATACAGTGATCTATCTACTGTATTAATTTTTTATCGTTATTGCCTTCGTATTTGAATAACAACACGGACAAAGTGATACCGTCGCCCGGATTGGGCTATTTATTTTATTTTATTATTTTTCAAACTAATTTGAATTATATTTTTATAAAAGTATAGCTCATTGTCTTACAGAAACCATAAAAATAAATCCAGAATTTGTAGAAATTTTGTGGGTAAACATTTTTTTCACTTTCTTCCATATAACGAATGTTCGTATTTTATTTTATATAAAAGAAAATGCGCTACATCGTTTCGTTTTTTTTTTTTATTTTGAAATGTGGGTTTCTTTTTATTAGACAATAAGCTATACTTTTCTAAAAAAAAACAATTAAAATTTATTTGAGAAAAATAAAATAAATAGCCCAAACCGGGTGACTATACCATTTTGTCGGGGGGTGTAGTTTTATAAATTTGGAATATAACGAAGAGATCACAATGATAAGTTACGTTAAATTCAGCCTACAACAACTGAAGCTGTACAATGAATTGAACAATAAGCACACTGCAGTAGACAAAAAAAATGTTTTTTTTTATTGTTATTGACGGAAATGGCGAAAAGTACAATAAGCTCAAAAAGTTACACTTTTTTCATTAATTTAGTACAATTTAAAATTCTCAAATATCAACATTGGTATAAAGTTTTCTTCCTGGCGTAAGGAAGAAAGAAACCGAACTTCATATTAAAGGGAATCTTAAAATGAAAAATATAAAATTCTTTGACTATTTAAATACTGAAGATGGAAATGATCTCATTATTGATATTCAAAATATCGTAAATATAAAATATTGTGTATAATGATGTGTACACTCATGTTAAAATGAATAACACTCTTCTTATGAACTATATTTTATTTATATACCAAAATATTGTTAAAAACAACTACTCTGGCGTTTTAAAGTATTATCTGATACTTACATTCATAATTTTGCTTTGAATAAAAATGTACTGAAAAGTACGGATTTTTTTAGCAAGTAGAAGTCTAACGTACTGATTTCGCGCATAAAAAATTTGGCAACCCTATGTTTGAAGTAAATCAAGCATGTTTATGAGTTGAGATCGAAAAATCTTTAAGCAAGGAAGCGTTTACTTGCTTGTGTCGAACCAAGTCCAGTCGAATACAAGTAAGTTTTCAAGTAGCTTGAAATGTAAGTGGCTTCAGTACAGTGGTACATATAGGTACAATTTATAACAAATAAAAATAGAAATTTTAAAATCTACCACATCTTCTTCAAATTTACCACACTTTTTTTTGCCGATTTTACCATACTAAAATAAAAAGGGGTTTGCACACTGGTCGGAGCCCATCCCATCAAATCTCACCAAAATAATTATTTAGGTAATAAAGAACCTTCCCACTGCATATGCTGATAAACATACATACATATGCACAGGTTATATTTTCCCCCCCTCAAGCGCACTTATTTTTAAGGCTTTTCATAGATCTATTTTGTAGAGTTGGAATTCTTCATTTTGATATTCTGCAAAAAGACAATAAATATCGACTTACCTAGGTAAATATTTTATTTAAATATTCACATTATTTCTCCTATAGTGGGAAATGTTTAATGTATTTTTTTATTTCTTATTTATATGTATGTACTATATGAGGCCAAGAGAACCAGAGTAGCCTATCTACAAATTAACCAAGACATTTGAAATTAGAACAGTTATATGGTAACTAAAATCTAAAAAAATGGTTCTGCATATATACTGTAACATAACATGAAAAATCCACAACTCTGATATTAGGAAACACCTTTCTATTAAAGCGTTTTAGACAACAACTCTACTTTTACAAAAATGTAGTCAGGCTACAGGGCTTTCATGGTCCCATATGTGTATACATGTTTCACTTTTACTCCGTTCTAGCTTATGTAATGCAATTTTATGTCAGAGCTGGATTCGCGATTTCTGCATATGTATATGTTTATGTGCATATATACTTATGAATGTATGAAACTATTGAAATACTTATGATCAGGAGGGGTAAATGGATGTTAACCGAAACCCACTCTGGGACAATGACAGCTGATGTCTATAACTGTGAATGGTGATAAATATTAGTTGCGTTCCAGATGCTCACGATATTCACGATTTGCAGGCTTTTTTTTTACAGGAATGCGTTCAAAGGGCCAAAAACCTGTCAGTCAAAGCACTTTTATGAGATTAACTTGCACTCGCTCTCAGTCAGAAGTTGCAGGTTTTAGTCCGAAATTTTTCTTAATTCAAGTTCATGAAAAGTGTCAAACGATAGGCAGGGTTGCATTTTTAAACAAAAACAGAACGCGGTGAAAGCAAAGGACCTTACATTTGTTAAAAAAAACGTGAAGTAGTAACAGGAAAAGTGGTTTTTCGCGTTCCAGCTGACTTTTACTGGTTCGCTCTCGCTCCTCTCTTTCAAGAGAGTAATTTTGATATTTGACAGTTTTACAGGTTTGTACACGAAGTTATCTGGAAGGCAACTAATTATGTATGTATGTATTTCGCAAAACATTTGTTCTCTAAACCCAAGCAGTAGTTATATTTCAAACCCTTTAAAAAACAAATGCAACTTACAAATGCCTTGATAATTTAAGTTCAAACCCAAATCTTTGTTCATCTGATTTATAAGGCTTTGTCCGCTAATCTTCCGACGTTTTCTATCTTCCTTGTAACGACCTACAATAGAAACATATTAGACAACTTATGTAGCAATGCATATACTGTTAGATATATAATAACGGACTAATTTTCATATTTTAACTACTCGATTTTCATATATACTCGTTTGTATGTATGCATACTCAAAAAATCGCTAAGTTTCGAAATACTTAATACGAAAAATATTCCTTCATTTCCATTTTAATCGGCTGGCATTCTGTTCGCTTCGTTTAGTCGTCGCGCGATTTCGTCGCCTGTGAGCAATGGTTGTCCGTCGTCCACAGTACCTGCACCTGCGCACAGCTTTAAATCGATCTCTGAGTTATTGGCAGTTATTTGGCGTTCGGGTGGTATGCTTGTGTACAGCGCGAAGTGTTCGGCTTCTTGTAAGTCTACTTCTGGACCGAGGATAACTCCGAACTCACCTTCACATAAATTTTTTAAGCTCTGCCGATCAGCAATTGCTACGAGCTCCATGTTTCCATCGCAAATGGGTATTTCGGCCAGTTGAAGCGCACTAAGCGTTCTGCGGTCCAAGTATTGACCGAAAGTGAAGGCTTTGCCTTCGTGGGAGGGCAGACTCTTAGCGTTTTCGCCCTTAAGTGGTATGTGTATTACATCGGCATTCAAATGGGCAGGACGCTTACCAGAGACGCTGCTTACACTACGACCTACTGGCTTGCCATTTTTATTGCTTTCGTTTTGAACGGAAATATTGTTATAGGGAGCTAAAGAGTCGGAGTTAGGTTGTTGTAGAGATTTAACAGAACGCAGGGAAGATCGATTGGGATCGCTGATCGAAAAATTGCCAATACTAGGTTCGCGACTAACAGCGGGTGTTGAGCATTTCGGCGGTGACTTGCTTGCCAACGTTTTGTCACCAGTATTTGTTTCACTTTTACTTTTGCGTCGCGAGAAGAGTCGCGAGAAGAAACCTTGACGTTTCTTGGGTGAAGAGTTTGGTGTGGGTTGGCGTTTAGTTGGACTTTGGTCAGGTGTACGCATTATAATGATTTGCGATGGGGGACGTGATGAAATACTACTGGCGCGTGAGTGTTCTACGGAGCTGAAAGAGGTCGGTGAGTTTGAATTAAGTTCCTGAGTAGTTTTGCGCTTGGGCGGCAATGGAGGAAGCTTTCGATCTGGGCCGGGTGAAGGAGTGCGCGGTGGTAGCGGTAGGGGAGGCGAAGGGGGAGAGGGCGGCGTTTGGACGGCATTTACACGTATTTTTGGGGCAGGTGGGTTTTTCAACACCACCAAACCATATTCGTCATTGACGATGACCTCTGAGGCTTGTTTTCCGCCACTGGGCATTGAGAGCGGATTTCTGAAAGCGATCTGCAAACTGTCACATGTAGACGTCTCTTCGAAGCTTTCACCTACATCCACAGAGGCGTATGTACTAGTGCTAGTATTTTTAGGAATAGTGGTGATTATCTCAACCATTGTTTCCACAGATTTATTGTCGCCAATGGGTGAGCCCCCAAGAGACAAGCATTGTAGCATAGGGTTGTCAAATGTGCCGCGTCGAGATTGCAGATCATTGCTCATGTCATCGAGCTTAGGCTCTTGTTCCATGTGGTCTGTGAAGGTCTTGTCTTCGTCGGTGGCGGTCGATATGGTCGTATGGTTCGTCGATAAACTGGTGACATTGGTGTACACTGTTATTGGACTCAACGAAGTTGTATCACCGTTTTCAACAGTCAGGCTGTCCGTACGTTCGAACTCACTAGAGTGCATCCACTCAGTGATCTTATCGACTGCGGACAACGGACGCGATCCAACCAAGGATGGATGCCTTAGCACATCATTCATGGGTGTGGATGTCTGTGTGTCGGCATCCGCCGCTGAGTACTTAATTTCAGGCACTTCCAACTCTACTTCAATGCCATTGGTGCATTCGAAGTCCATGTCACAGTCATCGGTCACACTTTCTCTATTGCGCCGGGCTATACTTTCGGTTTCATTGAGCGTATCTAAACTATGCTGCTTGCTGACGGTGCTCTCTGTACGTTCTGTCGATATGGTGTAATTGTCATCGAAGTCAAAATCAACACCGGTGGGTGGGCAAGAGTATTTCGTAGCCGTTGTCTCGCTATCCATGGACAAAATATGTTGAAATATATCGACATCAGGCCTTCGCTTAAGTTTCCGGCGCATACTCGCAAAAGAAAGCATACCTGGGTCATGAAAAACGAACTCCAAAGCTTCGCTTCTCTTATCCAAGCTTGGGCATTCCAACTCAATATATGGCTATATATCGGAAAATAAATTTATGTTTTGATAAGTGGATATACATATGCGCATCTATAGATGGTTTTATTTACCTTGGCAGTTTTTGGCAAATCCGCCTGAGGATAGCGCGGTGTGCGAAAAGCGATAGCTGTCTGTTTATGTACATTGGATGGTTCGAAATCGGCGTAAGCATGCCACACTTCTTGATTGTTATCGATTGCCTTAAAACGAACTTTGATGTCATCCTTGTTGACTTTCGAGCAGAGCAAAATTATTTCTTGTCCACCCTCGATTGTCGCAGAACAGCTGCAAAGGCGGCTTATAACCAATTCACTTTTTGCTTTTCGGTCGTACAGTGGTTCCGATACCACCGGGCTTAGTGGCTCCCAGCCATTGGCACCTTTTAAAAAGCCTTGAAAGCACAACCGCAAAGAATTCAGTTCAATTGAATTCGGGTCGCTAATGTGATCAAATCCAGCTGGAAAGATTAATGATTGAAATATTCGATTTTTTTGGGATTCGAAAAATCTTAGGGATCTTACTCTTAAACGGATCGACCTTTTTCTTTTTTCGTTCCTCCAAGGATTCAGCAATTTCTTTTTTCCGCACGCATTGTATGCCGACGTTGCTGAACTCCGCCCGCAATGGCAGACCGGGGCCAACGTTTCGTGTGCATACGCCACTCTTGCAATTCTTACCTACCAGCTGATGAGGGTGTTGTCTATAAGGCTTATCCTTTGTGACGCACGACACGAGAATTAAAGCTTCCCCGCAATAACCAACGATCTCAACAGTGGGAAAAGTTTTCGTCTCTTGAAAGGAATTCTCACCAGGTATGGTTCCAGCAGTACGGCCTTCACATTTATAGCGAAATCGCATAGGCTTCCGGGTAGGTTGCTCCACAACATGCAGGTAAGGTTTCGCTGTGGCCGTGGTGCCGTCTAATTCTGGCGTTATGATCTCGACTGAAAATAAATATTGGTAAATACGTATTTATTAGTAGGAGCAGGGAAGGAGTTTTTGGCAATAAAAGTCGCAAAAAAAGGTATGTAAAGGTACTAAAAACCGAATCCGGTACTAAACCGATCCTGGGATTTTCGGGATGTAGTTGGCTCAGCCCCGGGATCCCGGGATCAGTCCCGGGATTTAGATATCGTCGTTTAAAGTACAAAACCGCGTATCGTCATTCTGCAAAACCGCGTAACTGACATTGGCTGCTAAAAATTGGATTTGCTCACACAAGCTCTTGGCTCAATCCTTATCCATTCGTCCTGAAATATACTAGCCAGAAATGCGATTGCTTTATAAAAAAGAGAACCATTTTGAAATATGAGTGTTTTTACGCTCTAGAAAATAATTTTTACAAGTTCACATACGCGGTTTTGCATTTTGCTGATACGCGGTTTTGCATTTTGTTGATACGCGGTTTTGCACTTTAAATGATGATATGTATTTATTATTTTTGAAAAACTTAACACGAAAGAATTGCATCAATATGGTTTGAGCAGGTCTCCTACCATATAATAAATAATAAGTAAATACGCTTGGCTCGTACTTTTTTATTTAAAGTGAAAATTATTTAATAAGTAACAAAACGACAGTATTTAAATTTATATGCATTTAATAATACTTTAGCGTCTACATATCTCATAAACTAACTTATGTCGAAAAAAACTCGATGCAAAAATATTAAGTTAAAAAATTTTTTTTCTGGTTGAAATAAGTTCATAATACTAGTTGCAGAAATAAAAGAAGCGCCAGTTTTGTCTATATTCTGTTTTGTTTATTCACTATTTAATTTTTTTATAAAAGTATACCTCATATTACATATAGTTAACTGCATATATATATATATCAGGGCAGTTTCCTGACGTCGTGATTTTTTTAAAAAGTCTATAATTTCAAAGATATGGTTAATTCCAAAACTTATTTAAAAATTCAGTGCAATGCAAAACAAAAATATGGGTACCAAGTTCGAATAGGAATTAAAAATGCGCCTTTATTCTATTTTGTTTTTTTAGGCTAACAAAGTTAGTCCTTAACAGATAATTGTTTCGAAAATAAGAATTGCGAAATTTAAAGAATATTCAAGGATAAAATTATAAAAGGGCATTTTCCATACCTACCCGTCCTTTACGCACCAAAAAATGTAATATGTTTTAACTCTACAGAATCTTTTCTTTCATTTGATACCAATACTGGGTTTTTAAGAACATCGCACTGAATTCTTTAAATCATTTTTTGAATTACTCGTATCTTTCGAATTTCAAAATTTAAAAAATCCTGACGTCAGAGAGAAAAATTAAGAACGCAATTTTACTTTATTTGGCTCTTGGTTTGGGTAATATATTGATTTTTTTTGTGTATAAAATTGCCTGTCGTATTAAATGTATGTATATTAGAGGGCTGCATGAATGCATTCAAAACGGCTTATGAATTATTCATATACAAAACAAATGCATGATTTTGGCTTCCAATTTTTTTGATTTTGAGTGAATAGCTGTTCTGATATATGTGTCGACATTACAATATTCAAACAAAGTGAAAATAAATTGAATTGAAATAAATGACAATTTTTTGTATGAATATCCAAAACTATTTTTTCTATGCACATATGTAAATACATACATATGTATGTATGTATGTATTGCTGCGCTCCTATTACATACGAAAAAAACTTGTTTGTAGAAAAAACTTTTACCGAAATGAGTTTGAATGATTTGAATGTTTTCCATGCATTCATTCACATTCTTCCATTTAAAGGTAGAAAATTTAAAACAAAATGTATATTCATAACTTACAAAATTCCAAACTCTGAGTGTTTTGTATGTGAAGTAAAATATTCAAATCTACTATACTCTGTTTGGTTAGAAGTTTGAATGAATTCATGCAGCCCTCTTATGTATATTGAGCTACACATTTATAAAAAAAATATTAAATATTCATTAAATAGTAACAATGAAAGAAATATTTTCAAGTGAGTTGTCCAATTCCAGGACATATATATGTACATACAAACTATGTACTACTAATATGGGATGGAACAGAGTACGGATATCATTGACAAGGAATAGCCGTTAGATTGAAACGTTAATTTTTCAAACCGATATTTGGATTAAGAGACGAAAAAGGAATATACAATAGGTGTGTGTACTCGTATTGAACGGACAAAATTATCCAGCAGCAAAAATTCTGAGAATTTAGCAGCATTCGCTCTGAAAGAGACAAAATATCCACAGGATTGCGAGAACGCAAAATTTGAAAAAACTTGCAACATTTGAAACAGCTGATCACTTCTACAGTTGCCGCTGGTAGTTCATTTGGCAATTTATTTCCTGCTTGGTACATTTTCCCCGAATGGCTTTTTATACAGTTGAATACTTTTGGATATAAAAAACCTTTTAAAAATACGAGTTAGTTATATCGGAATGAATAAGTTATTTAAAAAAAACTATTTGTGATACCACATGATGACGCTTCCAAAAATATTTAATAGATATGTATAGTAGCTAAAAATGTGCCTTTAAATTATAAAATCTTCATTTCAACAATCAACTTACCAAAACTGACAACTTCAGCAAAAAACATTTCAGTGTGCTGCATTTAAATCTATTTTGGTAAATTTATAGGAAAATTATGGTACAAACGAAATATGTCATACGGCAAGCATAGTCAACACACACTAAAGTAGAGCTGGAAAACTATCGATGGTCGTGGCCATAGTCGATAGTCACAACCATCTATAGTATCGATACTATCGATAATGTCGACACTATCGATAGTTTTGATTAAAGAAGTCCACAAATTAAACATAACTACTTTTATTGAAAATGAGATTAGTAGCTCCCTTCTGTAACAATTCTCTACCAAGGCGAATTCATATATGAGGTCGCCGCCTTTTTCTCTACTGCTAATGAGTAGTAGAGAATGATGTATATTCTCTAGCAGTAGAGAAATAATCGGTAGAGAAGAGTTACAGGAACGAGCTACAGAACTGCTAAAATATCTCCATATTTTTGTTATGGGACAAAAGTTTATCAATGATTTTTGGCTTCAAGCCGCATCTGTGCTCTGAAATTATTTGGCCTGCGTTGTTAAATGTCCTTTCCTACTCACAAGATGAAGCAGTTACCGCCGGCCTTTACTCTGAATAATGTATGTATGAGTAAAAACTATCGATAGTGGTTACAAAACCATCGATGTTTTCGATAGGCAAAAACCATCGGTACTATCGATAGTGCCATCGATAGTTTTCCAACTCTACACTAAAGTAAATAAACAGGAGATTGATAGTAAATTACCTCAAAATAAACTCAATAAACCTTGTGCTTAATAAATTTACTCTCTTTTTAACGTATACTAGAATTAATAATAATTCAAAAAGGACATATTTTCTTTTGTTTGTTTACAAGCGATTTTCTTACATGCAAATTTCGCTAGTAAAAATTTTTCCAGCAGAAATTTGCAGCTCTCTATCACATCTTGCTCTCTCAGTTTCCCCTACTTTGCAAATTTTTTGGCTACGAGAACGCAAAACCAGTGAAAGTTTTCTAAAACTTTTAATAGTTTTAGGTACGAGTACACTCCTAATTTCTAGCTTTAAGATATTCAGGAAATAATAATATGCTAATATTTGCAAACACATGGCGCGTGATCTATTTAAATACTACTTCTATTGCGTGAGCTGAATGGGAATCTAAAAGCATATATATACAAAGGAAGCGTTGGTCCGGATCAACTCGTTAATTCGGAATTATCTCGGGAATTAACTGCGGTTGATCCGGATAAAGCCCTGCAGCTAAAGCTTAAACAGACGCACAGTGGTCAATAAATGGGATTTAATGTTCATAATTCACTGGAGCCTTCATTTCTCAACCGATTTGCTTAATTATTTTAATTAAGAGATTAGTTGAGCCCAATTTTCGAATTTTTATTCGTTTGTATTAAATTTTTTAGTGCAAAGTGCAGAAATGGCGCCAATTTTGAAGAAGACCGATTCTCCTGTTCCAGCTAATAAAAGTTTCATAATAGAAACTAGTTAAAAACAATTGTAGGGTTCTCCTAAAACAAAAAATAAATTAAAAAGTAATAATTTGAAATGTTATACAAAAAATGTTACCAAAAGTATTTTTTTTTGTTTTTAGTTTTTATAAAAATTTTGGGTATGCAGTTTTTATAATTTTTTCGCTAACATTTCGAGCACATCTGCATGCTAAAAAATAATTAATCAAATCGGTTGAGAAATGAAGGCTCCAGTGAATTATGAACATTAAATTCCATTTATTGACCACTGTGAGACGGCAGCGTTGATCCGGATTAACTCGGAGTTGATCCGGATCACCGCTGCCGTCTGTTTATGCTTTAATCCTCAAAAGTAATGCACATCAGGGAAATTTTCGATTTCCACACTAGCCAAAATGGCCAGATTTTGTCTATTGCTCAAGTAAGCAAACAAAGCAGGCGTGTTTGGCATTCGCGGTAGCCTAGTTGTGAGAGCTGCATACTACAAATATGTATTTTTTTTATTAAATTTATTTTTTTTATTTCCTTTTGTTTTATTTTATTTCGCATTATTTGTTTTATTATTAGTTTATCTAAATTTTTAGAGTTTAATTTTTATTAAAAACGTCAACAACAAATAACTAAAAACAACAAATTTCTATAGAATTTTGTGTAGTTAAGTTTAACTAATTTTAAAATTGATAAGTTACCGGGCCTAAATGAATTTTTAAAGCTTAAGAAAATTCAAAAAAAAATTATATAAAACATTTTCGTGTAAAATAATTACTATTATATATACATAGGGTTGCCAGACGTACTGCTTTTGGGAGTAAACGTACTCCTTTTTCTTGCAATGTACACTGAGGGAAAAAAATATTGAAATCAAATAGAAACGTTATTGATCTTACTATAAACGTCAACGAAAGTACTGTATATTGGTAAATATTCAATTCAATTACGCGCA